GATCAGCCCGGGGAAACCGATCGGCGATGAAGAGTTTCATGTTATAAGTTGACGATCGATTTGCCTTGTAATAACACGGCTTTTGTCCGAACCCCGCGGCCCTATATTAAGCATTCCAGAGCAACGATGCAATAATGCCGGGACTATCGGGTGCATAGAAATGAAAACGGGACGACGAGCACGGTGAATTTAAAATATTTCGCGAAGATATTGCTCCACTGATCACGGTTATGCACCTATACAGGGATCGGGTCTGGGGATAACGTAATTTCAGAAGAAACTCGGGTTTCGGTATTCCTTACCACCACCGGTCTCTGAAAACCTCTTTGAGCTTTCGCGGGAACCAAGTGCAGTAATCTTAAGAGGATTATTGCATTCCTTTTATCAACGGGATTAAATTAATTGTGGAATATCCCGAGAACTATTTTCGTGCTTTGCGACGGGCACGGTACATGCTCGGACCGCTCGATTCTTTTGTAATAAATGGATTGGAATCGGGATGGCTGGGATACGTTCTCCGCGACAAATGTAGCCGGTTTCCTCTGTGTTTGTTGCAGGACTGGGGAATCTTTATCTTTTTAAATTAGACGGTGATCTGTTCGGTGAATGATTTTAGGATTGATCTATGTGTACAAGATAGAGCGTGGGAATTAGGCCGATGGTCAAGTTTAGGAATTTTCTGGAAGGTAAAGAGTAAGGTTGGCGTTAGCAATCGATTCGGAGAAATTGACTAGGTTATTGAACGGGATTAATGACGATAGTTGGTAAGCATGATGAACGGGGGAATGAAAGTAAGAAGGAAATAAACTAAGTTAGTACTAGGCGTAGAGAAGAATAGCGACACAACAACAAACGATTGGATTTCGGGATCAGCTGACAAAAATGAAGGAAGGAAAAATTGAGGATATGCGAAAAATTGAATATTCGTGGGGCAAGGGTTGATGGAATCTTTCTGTCTTGGACAGTTATTGAATTTTGTATTTGAAGAGAAGAAAGCATGATAGTTAGAACAGAACAATTTAACTTATGTATTATTATTCGAATCTCTGTCCAGTCGTCTTTTTTGAAACCATTCTATTGTTATTTCAGCAATCATAACTGGATATAACATTTTAAATTTAACAGTAATACCTACATTTATTTTACTATCTCTGTGTGATCTATTAATGATTAATATTCAATCCAGTTCCTCACGCGTTCTCATAAGAAGTTAACGATAAGTTACTGTCGTCACATCTGTGCTAGAGTTTAACTATTTCCTTTTCTTTCTTTTCGTATACACCTGACCCTCGATTTAGGCGGCACTTATTTAAGAGGTAAATTAGAACACTATCTACGCGTAGTTTTCATACGCGATCTGATTGTAGTAACACGGAATAAAATGTACTTTTATTTCCGAAAATGTCGTTATTACTATTTCTTTTGTTTGGCCATGTGAAATAAATATATATATTTCTAAAACTTATACTAGCTTTTCCTTCCAATATTTTGTTTTCTCTTGCACCGACAAACTCTGTTTTATATACACACATATACTACCGGTGAAAAGTTTGGAACCACTTGATATCTTATAAATAACAAAAATTATATATCTTTATATTTCACTAATACACACATGTCCATGTTCTTTTATCCTACCCAAAAATTCTCCAATAAAAGGTGTTTACAAAAAATGGAAGTTTTTCTTTTAACCGATGTATTGTTCCCAAACTTTTGACAGACAGCCTATATATATACTATACATATATATATATCAAATGGTTTTTCGTGTAAATCAAGGGTCAGCTGTAATTTTCTAGTTTTACTGTCACGATACGTGCACTCGTGTCGATTGATCTTTAAGCGATCAGATAACTCGACAGCAGTGTACTAACGCCGACATATTTGCGTTGTTGCAGACATGAAACCGTCAGACAGGAGCGAGAAGTCGATGCTGAGCGGGAACGCGCAGCCTTCGGACGTGTTCTGTTCGGTTCCCGGACGATTATCGTTACTAAGCAGCACCAGCAAGTACAAAGTTACGGTAGCCGAGGTACAAAGACGACTATCGCCACCGGAATGCTTAAACGCGAGTCTCCTTGGCGGAGTCTTACGGAGGTAAGATATCGCGTCGAAACTTTGGTCCGTCTCCATTGCACTCCGGGCTTCGTTTGCATAATACAATTTTATAAGGGGATTAGCTCTCCTATAGTCGGGCAATGATACGCGCCATTGCTTGATGGCACTGCGCTCGGCGTAACGAAATATCGTCCCTCGTTAAATCCCCGGCTTTTCTATTAAAATTACCATCTTCACTTCCATCGATATTTATTTCGAGAGAAATAAATAATATAATATAATATTTATATATTTCTGGTTTCTTTAACATGCGCGGTTTCGTTTTCATGATGGATGACTACGAAATCGAATCAGTATTCCTCTGTGATTTTCATTTTCTCGTTTCCTTCTAATATCTTTCTGAAATATAAATGATTTGATTGAGATGGGTATAGCTGTTGAGATTACACGTATAATTTGACCACATAAATATGATATAATCGGGTTTGATTAATCCTCGTCCTTAATCCTTGAGATCTTGAAGATTTTTATGAAATTCGAATGTCGTTATGAATAAAGTATATTTATATTATTACAAAAATGAGTATAGTGTTCGATTAATCAGACTTCGATTGTCCCAGCATACAATTATGCAAAGTTATACAACTGACGTATGTCATTCATTGAACATCCCTTAGAAAATATAACAAAGAAACATTCGAATAATCTTCCTGCGCGATATAAGGATTTCAATAAAAACTACATTAAAAGTCTCATTTATGTTGTCAAATCTATATTTTCAATTGTTTGTACTAGCATACTGAATCGTGCACAGAAGCCTGCATAATTAGTCGTATACATATTTCCTTTCATAAATACATTTCCGTTTGTTAGATACCAACGATATTTATAATGTAATATCCTAATACCCTATCTTATCACCGTGGGAAACGTTGTACAATTTCGAACATTCGTACGTCGCTAAGAGGAATCAGAGCAGACCGCATCATCAGCCGGGACAATGGCCAAGATAGAGGATACACACAGCGCGGAGATACCGATACCCTCGGACCGTTACGCGACGTCTATCTAAGCCGGTTAATTAATAAACGCTAGTTCGCCTTCATTCGGTCGGTTCATACTCGAACACGGACAGCCTGCTGATTTATGGTTTTCCCTCTTGGAAGCGGGAAGCGCTCTTCTTTATCTGATTCGCCATTTTACTCGGCCAGAACACTATCCGTTGCGCAATGCTTTATCACCAAAGGCGTGGATAAATCACCGTGGCAACCGGCGAATATATCTCACGCACGCGATACTTGGTGTGCCGGAACTTTGGTGCCTGCCTGTGCACACTAGATTCGCGGACTCCGATTTTTCCGGCGGGTACCATTCGCAGCGGCCGCCGTTTCTTTCGTGTGCATTGCTTCCGATACGCGGCGTGGTGGGAATCGCAAGTAGTGCGAGTCAGTGGTTTTGTCATTCCGTGTATTCAAAAAGATAGGGTGTATAGCTTCGGCGAACACCTGTCCAAGAGTGCGAAAACATCTGCTAGTTTTATGAACAAATGTGGCGTTCAATTGTGATAATGAATTTTCAAGTATTAATAATATTGGATGGGAAGTTTTATTATGCAGAGACTTAAACGGAACTTTCGAAGAATACATCGTATCAAGCATTCCGATATGTGGTTAAAGCTACAGCTGACTGAACTGGCTAACTCCATTTCACAGATTATTCCAAACTTCAATGCTAAATCGTTCATAGACCAATAACATAATTTTACCAATTCACTCGATTCATCAAACAAATCTTACTCAAGAACACAGGTCACTAGAGTTTCAGTTCCCAAAATCGTCAACAATTTTAAGCACATTCCCCGCAATCCGGCATCCTATAGTCAAGGGCTGCCTGCAGCGGCAGAATCAGTAGTAAATTCCCGTGCAAGAGCGAAAGGGACGAAGAAAAAAGGGATCGCGGTATAAACTGCCAATAAAGCAGGTCCCGATCTATCCCCAATGCAAATGAGACATTAATAATCGCGTAGCTCCGAGTGTCAATTCCTCGGTACGAGCAGCCCTCGGGCGGGCAGCGTGCATTCGACGCGCACCGCAAACCGCGACGATATAATTCATCCATTCGAATAGCGATCCGGCTGATAATTACACGCGCCGCTTTCCGTCTCTCTCACACACACACTCTCCCTCTCTTTCTCTCTCTTTCTCTCGCAGCAACCATAGATTCTACCGTGCCCATCTGCCTTTCTTTTGTCTCTCGGAGCGTCCACCCGCCCCGCCACACCGCGCTCCTTCGCATGCCCTTTTTCCACGGCGCAACGGCGCGTAGTGTTCTACCTTCACGATGAATTAAGGTTTACGAGCGACGGGTTTACAGTGCTCTGCGAAGCGATCCCGCGGACCCGCAACCCCGTCTCTCGATTGCCGGTTCGCTTCGGCGATATTAAAATTGCAACTTGGTTTATCGACTCCTCGCCACCGACCGACCGACCAGGATTGATATTTTATTAACCGCGACCCGATCATGGAATTCGGTTTTTCTGATCCCCCTTTTTCCAGTCTTTCTTCGGTATTGTTTTCTTGTTGAACGTTTCAGCGGTCAGGCCGAGCGGTTCGAAAGTTCCACGATGCTCTGCGGTGTGCATTTAATTGCTGACCGTTAGCTCGTGGATCGTTCGTGCGATTTGGTATCATTTTATCGTTGGATTGATTTGGAAAACGATTTCTTCGTGTGTTTTTTGTACGTTTTGCGCAAAAATTTAGATGTGATATTAACACTTTGCTGACGACGGAATTTGTTTACAGAAAACGTCTTTCAACTTTAATATACATATTTCATCCACATCTAATATGCTAATCAAATGATTTAAATGATGTACACTAATGAATAGTATCTAGAACGCTCTTATAAACATCTATATTGCTTTCAGGTATAAATTAATCTAAGTGCAAATACAACGAAACTCATGAACAACTCGAACCGATAAACACGAGTATACCTCGTAAAGTCGTGACCGGTCAGCAAGGTGTTAATTACAGAAATGCGGTACTTACAATTTTTTCTTTTCTAAATTAGGAGATGAGGAATATAGGCATTGATTATTTGTTTCCAGCTGCGGAAGGTTCATTGTATCGTTAATTAGAACAGTTGTTGCTGGAAATAAAAATAGACGGGAAAGTTTCATGTGACGTGAAGTCTTATCTTTATTATAGACGCAGTGAACTATCAGTACTATTCGGGATACTCTTCTCGTTACAAGGGAACAAGCTTTCGCCGGATTGCAATTGTGTAATCAAGCATCGTGCAGAATTTCTGGTTTTGCAACTACTTATTATTTAAGTTTCTTCTCTTTAATTCGCCCCGGCTGTTGCGTCGGCAATAAATTCAGAAGTTACGATGCTCAAACGAAGTAGTAGCCTGCCGGATCATCGCAAACGGAGGAAGGATCTGTAATACGACTGGCAGATGCACGTTAATCTTTTTTCGAGTAATCGACGAAGCTCGAGTTATCTGTCGGTGGAAACAATTCTATCCGAAGGATCTTTTGCAATGCGATATAACTGTCGATCGTAAACCTCCGTTTGGTCATAAACATAGAGCGACACGGAGCAAGAGGAGAGCAAAGTGGGTGGGGAGGCGGAACAGACGCGAACAAATATGAAAATTAAAGAAAATTTACGATCTTATCTTGTATCGTTTGCATCATCGAGGAATTCACGAGATGAATTAAATGCAACTTTGTTATTTAACTACTTGCGCTGGAAATTAATACAGGAACTTGGCAAGGTCTCGCGCGAAGAATTTTGTTTTCACCTACTTTATGCAGATATGTAATATAAGTTTGTTTATTAATAATTTTCTATGAAGTGATGCATTTCAAAACAATCTAATACGCGTAATGCAGCAAGATTATCGATGTGTATATAACATCATTGACAATTTTGGAACAAAAATACCTTGATGCGCGTGGTATGTCTTTCTAGCGCAAAAGGTTAAGATCTAAAAAAAAAGAACTGGCGGTATGATAGAAAAAACATAACCTACACAGACTTGTCGTGGCATAAAATTCAATGATACAATTTATTAAATTATTTTTAAAATTTGTCGAGGAGAATTATAAATTGAGATTATTTTTCCGGGACGTTATATTTTCACGTGCATTTCGAAATTTTTGCATATTTGCTGCAACAGATATGCGTTTTTTTTGGGGGTGCAAACTGAAACATCGATGCAAAATTAATACTTGTCATTGCCGATGATGTTCCAAGATAAACGCGGAAAATTACAACAGCAAATTGTTTCGCTGCCAAGGATAATTCACGGAGTCGTTAACCGATCGCAAGAACGGAACAGGCACGAAAATGAAACGTGAAATTATGAATAAAACATACGGTCAAATTGCCTTTTACGATTGCCACGTGAAAAACCTGCGTTTACGCTTCCCTGGCGTGGCAGGTAAACTTCTTTTTTTTCCGCGCCGCTTCGACAAACATTTACACGGACATTATGCGATACACCGTGAAACCTGAATAGCTTTTCAAGCGTAATCACTCGTAACTTAAATCCGAGTAAGAAGTTATCGTCGTCGAGTTATTACAAAGAATGATTAAAAAGTTGCTAACACCTGATGTAGTATTTACGCCAGTACTACAAGTTAATCTCTTGTGTCGTTGATCGGATAAAAAATGAGTTAATTGTTTCGTGTAACACTTATCATCGCTTACTTATTATCTACGTAAGATTCACTGTTTTTTCAATTCTCTGTAACACAATCAATATTTATATTAACTAAAAAAACCACCAGTCGATTGAGACACACAATAATTTTTTCCCAATGTTATTAAAATCTTCTGAACTGCATACTTAATAAATTTGAAATACTCTTCACAACTAACTATCCTTTACAAAAAAATGTTCAAAACTTAAACCAACCAGACTACGAAAACGGCTAAACATCAAAGAAATATGACACAAGATTCTCAAGATTTCGTTTCAAAATAGTCAAGACATAGTTAGAAATATACGAAGAATGTTACATTTCCTATTTCCAAGAATTTTTAGAGTTCCTTACATTTGGTGTCTCATTCGCGTCGCCGTTTATTGACGATCGTTAGCAGCGCATCGAGAACACGTTCGATCGGGGAAGCAAGGTCCTTCGGTTCGCTAATATAGAGCGCGACGGTCGTAGACGATTAACGATGCCAGTACTCGAGGATGTCTCGAGTAATCAGGGGTGCAGGGTATCCTAGGATTCGCATCGGCGGAAGGGGGAAGCGTATCGAGCCGAAGGGCGCGAAGAATATCGCAGAAAACCCGCGCGCGAGTGAGCGAACGAACGAACGAACGAACGAACGAACGAACGAACGAACCTAGCTCGCTTAAGAAGACAAGAATCCTTCTCGGGACAAGACTCCATAATGAGTGGAGAATTGCTCTCGTCACGTCCAAAGGACTCGCTGCGACGGCATTGATAATAAATATATGGAAATGACGTCTAAGCGCGCGTTCCTTCGGATATACCAATATCACAAGGTATAACAAATAGTTCTAACGTATACATAGTGATAATACTTTGTTTACGCATTACTTTTGCAAATTCGTATGTTTCTCCATTTGTCAACCACATCTGTTAGTTGTATGAAATACTTCGACACTCAATGTTTTAACACTAAACGTATCAGTCCTTTATGTACACCTATTCAAGGTCAAATAGTTGGTTATAAAATATTTTATTTATCTTAATGAAAACGGAAACACGAGGAAAGACAAAGATTGAAGAACTAATTAATCAAAGAATGTAAGAACTGATATTGAGTTAAATGGTCGAAAGAAAATGCAGAGTTTTTAATCAAATTTTAAGGAGCAAGTATATACGCGCAGCTTAAAACTGGCACAATTTTAATGTTACGACATAAGATGGCGGTCCTCCGCTTACCGGTTCGTCACGTGATCCGCCAAGGATACGTAAAATAAATATTGGTAATTGAGCATTAAAAGTTTCAACTTTCAATTAAATGTAATTTATTTGCGATATTTAATTTTCTGCTACATTTCAGATATTAAACGAAGTGAGCGTTTATCTTTATATAAACCGAAGGAGGTCTATTTGCCATTTATTTATACGTGAATCATTACTTATGAGATCGCTTTGACCTTGAACTTTTTCTTTCACTGCTGTGCATTTATTGTCTTAAATACAAAAAGTACAGGAAGTAATTATCTTTTATAGTTTCAAGCCAATTTTAAATATCATTACGAAGCACTTTCAAACATACCAATGAATTATCGGTCGTTTTTGTTTTTCGTTGAAAGAAAAAAAGATATTTCGAATTCGAGACATGCTTTCCGACGTCGTCGTACCCAATGAACGCGAGGTTTTTACGCTGGCAGGTATGTACACGAAAGATCGAAGCTAAGCATTGAGAAATCACGACAAGCAACACGAGAATCATAACAGCGTAGATCCCAGGGCAGATACATTAAAATGTTGTAGCGGTAAAGTGTATTAATTGCCGAGCGAACCGAAAGATTACCGGACTGACCAGCTGCCCGAACCGAACAAAGGTGGGCGATACGCGTTACCGTTATTCTGGTCCTCGGATGATGGATGAATAGGTGCGTCCAGGAACACCTTCGAATTCTCGATGTTAGCGTCACGTGTCCGCCAAGATTCGTGATTTCAACAGTGCAAACATTCATTTTTATATTTCTTAAACATGTCGGATCTATCTTCCTTACGTTCTAAATTAAATCATCAAATTAGTAATCTTGCGTTTTCACGAGACCTTGATCTAACGTACTTGAATATCAGTTCTTCTGATTACGTTCAACGTGTCAGGAAGATGTAGTATTCTATGTCATTCGTTTGCAATTAGCAAAAAGTAAGGTCAACGAATTAGAAAAAAAGTAACTTCATTATTATCTCCATTTATCTGTGTGATAAGGTTACTAATAATATTTCTTATAATGATATCGATAATATTTATAAGTATATTTATAATTCCATTTATAGTATTAACGTTAGTCAACATTAAATTTTAACGGTATTGAAAGCACGATTAAAATATAGTAACATTAAAATATTAATACCAGAAATTTGTTAATAATCAATATACGATATTATGACAATTACGACACAGAAGCGTAACCTTCTTACGAGTTTTGTCGGTACGCGTTCAATGTCTTCGAGTGTTTCGCCCCGCGATAGACTCACTCGTTCGAGCCGAGTTGCTCAATGGCCGATGGATGACACGCGCGGCTACGGATTATGCTAATTTTCTAGTTTCTCTGTCGTTGCTTGCCTTCCCCTCGTACCACCCTTTCTTCCCTGTAGCCCGTCGATTTCTTTTTTTCTTCCTTCAAAGATCAAGCAAAAATGATTAATGAGACAGTACCGTTTCGAAATTCTCGCGCGAGCATCGGCTCGCCGCGTCGTCCGAACAATGTTCGCGCAGACGAACCGGTTGGACAATGAGACGGGCCCGGAGAAACAAAGACACATTTGAGTGAATCGGCTCAACCGGGATGCGCGAATAATATGATTGTGCAACGTCTATGCAAATCTATTCTATATTTATAGAAGCAACATACACTCGCCTCCCTACGTGCATCGTTGTACATTCATTTGTTATTATGCAGCCGCGAAGTATGTTTTGTTGTAACAGGTGACACTTTGCGCCTCAATTTTTTGCAACCCGGTACAGTTTGCGCGATACACCGATCGCAAAAAATGTCTGGTCTTTTTCTTTTCCAATTCCTTCGTTTTTCTAGCATTCAGGCTGACGCATTTCATTTTTATACAAGTCACTCGTTTATTATAGTAGTCAACGCCATGATATTCAAAGTAAAACAGTATTATCACGCTATATGCGTAAAGAATTAATAATTAACCAATTTATCATTTAGTAGTGTTGACCATTTTGATCTGTGAAATTCGACTTGGATAAAGTGTTAGGTTAGAATTGTATTAATTTGTCATGTTTTTATGGTATAGATGATATTTTTAGAAACTCCGATTATATTGTCTTCTCTTGTTTCTAGGGCGAAATCGAAAAATGGCGGACGGCTGCTTAGGGAAAAATTGGAGAAAATTGGACTAAACTTGCCAGCTGGCAGAAGGAAGGCCGCCAATGTCACGCTCTTGACATCGCTAGTGGAAGGTGAGTGTCGCGATAAATTCCATAAATTTCCATGAATTTTCATTCGGAAGTGAAAAAAAGCTGAAGTCTTCCGAGATTTTTACGTGCCAGCCGCCGAAAAGTTCAAGATCACTTAAAAAAAAATGTAGATCTTCCAATGCAAAATAATAAAAATCGTGCATTTCATACTATAGTTCAAGTTAATACAGTTACGGTAGAACGATAAAATTACAATGATTAAATTGTGTTTATTTAAAATGATCGCCAGCGACAGGCTGTTTTATATCCCATCCGTTGAAATAAGTTTGCTTCTTCTTAATGAGAATTTTATTATGAAAAACCAATTACCGAAGGGGAAGGAGGAGTGTTACGGCCCTTAGGGTATAATAAAAATAATTGGAACGGGAAAACCAGGTGATCGGTCGCGACGTATACATTCGAAATTAATATAATAAATTGCTCGCTGAAACGAAGCATAATGAAAACAACAAATTAGAGAAAACCTTTAATTAATCTATTAAACGCAAGAACTGGTTGGTCTTTACTATCTCTTACCCTTATTTTCACTCGTGAACAGTGAATGTCAGAAACGATATCGAAGTTTCGAAAAGAAATAAACGATTTTACTCGAAACGTTAAATTATCAAGACCGATTCATGGATTCAGTTGCAGCATCGTGAACTTTCCTCACGCCTCTATCATTGAATCGATCCATGATATATAAACTTCTTACATTCTGTTCCTTCGTCAGAGTTTATCTGACATAATGTCAAGGATTCCGATGTACGGAGGATATTAAATATTTAATTTATAAATCTAGTTAACGTATTACAAACGGTGAAGTATTTGCATGTACGTAAATAATGTCGTGGCTTGTTCATCAATGGCTGTATGTTAATGTCAATGTTACGCGCGGCGATGCTGTCACGCCGCACTGAACGGGTTCAAAAGAATCGACATTATGAGCACAGCTACGAGAGGATGAAATACGAAGCAATAAATATTCACGATTATAATAGAACTACGTTTCCCATACAATTCCCATGTAAAAGTCAAGAGACGAAATTAATTTCCGATTCAAATCGATCGGTGACTTACGAAACCACGAATTTATTCTCCATTATGTTAGAAAAGAATGATCATTCCTTTCGTGTTGAATAATGAAACCGCATAACTTGCACATTTTCATTTCTTATCCTACGTTTAAATTCTTCATCATAGTTAATTATTATTTATCTTTGCGTTAACTGTTTCTATAACCTATCGATCTAGGATAGTCTGAAGTTCAAAACAACGAAAGAAATTCAACCTTATAAAAGAAACTTTTGAAAACATTCAAACTATTCAAATATTCAGCAGTCAAAACTTAATCGAACACAATAACAATTCAACAACCACGAACATAAATAAATATAGGAATCATTATACATATCAATGTGCAGAACTAAATGCAAAACAGAAGTTAATGCAACATTGAAGACAGTTACAATTGAAAAGTAAGGGAAAATAAATTGCTTATTGGTTCTAATTACATTTTCTATAAAGACCTCTTCGATAATTTACCCGTTACTTACGAAGAACTTACTTTACATCCCTCCGAACAAATCATCATCCCCGCGGATTCTTTATACTGTGTACACAGTGACCGGTACCAGTAAAATATTCCACTTTATGGCCCGCTCCGGTACTCGTTCTACTTTGAAATTGCTTCGATGAAATCATTTCGCATGAACGACACGACGTTTAAGCAGTTCTTAACGTCGGTCGAAGGGTCTTTGTCGTGGACCCATGTCCGGCGCAGGACAGCGCAAGCTAGTTAATCAAGATCGTTCTACGGAATATTCATTGCCAACCACGTTCTTTAATAACGTACGTGCGTAACATTCGTGCGCCGCAATTTTACATGCGACGATCGCTCCGCTCTCTCCGCGAAGAACCTTTTAATGGCCCGGTCGCGAACGCTGATTACAACTTACGGTCGGCAAACTCGCGCAAAACACAGCCTTTTCTCCTTTTCCCGCGGCACGTGTGTTGTCCGAGCTGATTTTAATACGCAAACACTCCCGCAACGTGGCAAGAAAAATGAGAAAAAGAAAAAATGCGCGCCTTTACATAGTATATTATGTTCCGGCGCTTACACTTTATAATGTTTGTGCCACGTGTTTTTTAATATTCATGAAATTATTTCGTATTAATGGCCGCTCCTTTTATGATCTCAGCACTCCAACGTGAGAGTTTGACTTTCTTCACGAACTTCTTTGTTTCGTTTTTTTCTCGATTACTTATCACGTCAATTATTATTAGTTTAAGATATAGTAATTGGAAATTAGAATACTTATGAAGCTTAAAATGTAAAAGCCAATTCCGTACGCACTTATTACGAAGAACTTTATCAATCCAAGGAAAAAATGAAGTTTTCCATTCTTTTCATGGATGTTATCGCGCTGCAGAATGACTCGCCTGGTTCCGCTGCCGGTAAATCCAGTTTTTACCGCTATATCTCATCATTCAAACGGATGAGTCGCTGTTAATAATACTGTAAATTAATGGTCTGATCAGATAGCGAGTGCTTATGATGCACGATACCTTTTATATACCATCAAATCCGCAATAACACTTTTTCAGTGAAATATAAGATTTCTGTGTGGATGTTCATTGATCACGATTTTGTACGAAGGATCTTTCGAATTTTCTAATTGTTGTGTAATAAAAAATCATCAGACCCGATTTTTTAAAATTATATTGTTTACAAGATAATAGTAATTTTTTAGTATCAAAGTTTAGGTGTGTATAAAGTGGATTTTTAAAGATACACTTCACTATACCTACATACAAGATACACTACATTAACAGCAGAACGAGAAAATGCTATTTAAATTTAAAATAGAATTGTAATTAATGCAGCATGTAGGCAACGAATTAATTTGTACACTGAACACTTGTATAAGTCTGAAACGTTGAACTTCGAAGTTTGCTTCTAGGATACATACACAATATGTCCAGTTCACTTGTAAGCAGTGGAAGATATGTTCTAATCTCTGATGAAATTCATTGCTATTCAGCTGTATCGTTTTAATAGGCGCATGCAAATGCGTAGATTATGTAAGCTGCCAGCTTCATGTCTCACTTTTGGTTTCACTGTGTAGCTGTTGGAGTAGATATTTGCTACACTGACGCTTACTTTCTTACACAGTCCTTATCTTTCTCGTTTTCCAACTACATAATTTAGAAGTGAATGTATTATCGTCATTATTCCCATCAGTACTTGCTACACTTTCATCCCAGTTACTGATAAATACCATGTATCAACAAACTAAAAGTAAATTGACACTGAATTAATTAAAAAACACGACCAACACGGAATTTCATCAACGAAAGTAATTGGGATAAAAACATGCTTTGCGCACACAGCAATTAAGATAATAGAAAATTAACAAGGAAAGGTGACTGATATTGAATTTCCTCAAAGAAAATAATTTCTAACGCCGAAGTGAAGCTGATGCAACGAAGCTTAATTCAGTTTATAATTTAATGCCTCCATTCTAAGAATAGAGAAGTCACTTCTTGATAATGAATTAACTATAACTCTTGGACTAGTCTCGGTCTATTCCGTTTGGCGTTCTAATTAACTGTCGTGCAACATACTGGTTTGCAAACTCGTTTCATGCGTTATTTAGAATCCTCATTTCTCGATGGCATTTATAAGAAACCGATTAATCTCGGAGATATTCAACACCGTCAATCGTTCTGTTGTGTCTTGACATTTTTTTTCTTGCCTTTACATGCTAATAATAATTATTGCCATGCACTTACATTCTAATAATAATTATTGTCGTCTAGCATGCTTGTTTGCGTGACCGAAGGAAACACGCGGAAGCAATATCGTTGAATAGAATCCGATTATCGGTTCTACTACATAAATTCCGTAGTTCGTTAGTTTTCCCCGACGAGGTTGTCGTCTGCTTCTTAATTGCAATTTCCTTGTCACCCGTAAATTTCTCTTAACGGAAACCTGTTGCAACAGTGAGGACAGTCTCTCGTTTACTAGTTCGACCAAAAATAAAATATCTACGATAATCAATTGCAGTAGAAAAGTAATTAGCAAAATGCTTTTAAAAAACCGTCATTCTTCACTTTCGATTCGAATACGCTTAAACTAACGCAAATATAGTACCAGTAAATCAAAAAAACATTACATTTAACTAAAATATACATGGAATCCTTAGTATTAACTTAAAGAATTCGTATATAGAACTTTGTAACACCAATTGTTGAGCAATTATCACCCATAAATTTACAGAAACTGAACAAATCAAATTCTCGAAGAATACTTCTCTGATTTCTAAGAATAATTGAAATCAAATAACTGATTGTAACGATTAATCAAACTCAAGTTCTGACAGAGTTGAATTAGTTAAAGCCTTTTCTACGAACACGCCGAATTCTATGAATTTCGTGGGTTCCCAAAAGAGGACGCCTGACGGTAGAAAAGCAAAATTAATCAATGGATAGAACATTTCGAAATGTCCATGTTCGACTAGCGAGCAATTGACAGAGTTCGTGGAGTGCAGCGAAAGTGTGGGAACCTAGTCTCGAACGCGCCAGGTGTGTAGGTACACTTACGAATAACGTATACACGTGCGTGATTCATGCGTAAATTCGAGTCTGGTTATCACACAATGACGCAACCTCTGTTACACAGACGGAAAAAATAATTGGCTTAACATCACCTGGCTCGTCGCGATTTACAAAATCGTTGCTCATCAATACTATTACCAGAGCGACGTTTAGTGTTTCTCTACCCCATTGACTACGGAAGACGTAAATATACATCCTCTACATGTTTCTATCAACGCAAAGAATGTAGGTTTATGCGTTGATCCATGTTTTAGAATATTTCACACACAAATTGATCATTACATCTTTTTCATTATCTTCAGTCGTTTATGTTATCATTATTATCATTATGTTAAAATTGGCGAATTAAATTTGTACCTCATTATAAATTTTGAATTTTTTCTCTTTATATTTAATTACCAATTAAAACTGAAGGAACGTGCACTTTGGTCAGTGGACAAACAGCCGCAGCGTCTGACGCGAATATCGCGCTCTCTGTATTGATGGTTCTTCGCGACCGTGCGCCGCAATCAAAGAGCTAGACAACTTTACTTACTTGTTATCCCATCTTAGTTAACCTTAAGTACATAGTTCATTTAAAGGTTTTATTCTACATTTCATCAAAAACAGGTATCTCCGAAATTAATCCTTTGAATGCTGAACACTCTCATCCGAAACGTTCCGTGTAAACGGAATGTTCTTTTGCTGATCTGAAGATCGATGGATTATACTAATTTATATAATTAAATTGTAATTCTTCGGTTTCACCAAGGTGAATAATGCTAAGAAACACGCATATTAATCTCATATGCTTATAATTATCACTACGACACGTGTGAGATTGGAATGATCGAGCACTCAAAGGGTTAATGAAATATTGGAATGTCAACTCAACCAATCTAGTTGTCAGTATGAATTTATGATTAATACTTATCTAAAAATACAAGTAAAGTTGCTCAAAATAAATTGTTCATACTGCTTTTCCCTTGTTCGTAGAAAATTCAACAAAACCTTCGTTGAATTCTTTACCTTGCCTAACTATCTTGGTTTATCCAGCTCTCCCTTATTTTCCGCGTAACGATAATCACGATGGGCTCGGCAAGAAAGAAACCGCAAACACACTCGTGCCAGTAAACATGATCCGGTCACGATCGTTTGATAGTACGCGGAAGGGAAGTTCTTCAAAAATCGTTTTCGAATAATGATTATCGAAACTGCGGAGTATAATTTGTGGTCGGCCTCGGAGATCGATCATACTTTGTTGCAGAAGTTGCACGGACGCTCGTCGAATGAACTGACCAATGCACAGTGATCTGGAAACCCGTTTTTCTTGGCCAAAATTCAATTTTTCGGGTTTAATATTATGAACTTTGTTTCTTTATAAAGTAAGGATACCGTAAAACTCGGAAAACCAAAATATTACTCATTTAGACGCTTGTGTGATTGGATACGATGCGTTAGATATTCCTTTAATTTCAGCTATGCAAAATGAATTTTTATATCACAGGTGCACAATATTGAAACTGCCATTTTGAATTTAAAATTTTTAGTGTCAGATTCATCATCAGTGACCCCAAAATCTCCTGATTACCAATTTTCATAAAGTTTGCATACCTTTCGAAGTTTGGCCACGAAAAACAGATTTCCAAACCACTGTACGAAGGCACATGCAAATGCTGATATGCAAAAAATGGTAGTGGTAGTAGTACGTGATAAATTAGCATAATTGAATTTACTCATTTAATCGACAGATTAATTCACCAAGAAAATAGTTCATACATATTAATATATTCCTTTGAATTTACAATTAATTTAACAAAAAAATTATAACACATTTACTAAGAGACACTCAGGATTCATCGCTTAAACTATATAATAAAGCTTTAACTGCCATCACAATGAAAAATATAATTATTATTCTGATAGTCGACCACTCACAAAGCAATGTCATATTTATACAATATCGGTGAACAATCAGTGGCTAACAAAATCACACGTATGCGACGGTAGTCGTCAGTGTCGTGGTAGATGCGGTTGCAGATTATCGAAAGGACGAACAAGGAACATTCTCAGTTAGTCTTCGTTTTATAATGGTCGCATCGGATTTTCGATCGAATGTCGGGCGACCGTCGACGGCCGTAGTAAAGTCATCAAGTAAAAAGGCTGATCATTGATTCGCGAGTCACGTTGCTGATTCGTTCTCGTATAGCCTGCGTGCGCCAATCTGTAGCCCGCATCTGTAATCACCTTCAACCAATCTATGGTCCTCATCTGCATCGAGCAAAGTATCTTTCGCTGGTTGTATTGAGTTGTCCCGGTGCACGTCTGTATCATAGATTATCGCTTTGGCCGGTAGTCCTCTTTCCGAACGAAAGTGAACTCGTTTCCACCGAGTATCGTTGCAATTTTCCATTATAATATGAGTACGGTTTATACGGTTATTATACTCTGGTTTAAGGCAAAATAGATCTGAACGACATCACGAGATTCCTTTATACTGTGAATTTAAAGTTGCAGAGCTCTGCAAGTGCGAACGTACACTAGGCGATGATGAAAATGATATTGGTAGTTAGTGAGTAGTTGCCTTGATTAGGAGTTGTAGATAATGTGTTGAGATTAAGATTTTATATTGGGATAAAAGACAGAATGTTTGAAAGAGTATTAGAGAAACTCGGGAGATTTAGGGATAATCAATAAAATATCACCTGTAGAAAAAACCAATGAAAAATCAACTTTGGAGAAAATCAATCAAAAATCAACTTCAGAAAAAATCAAAATAAAATTATGGAGATATTTTTGTGTCTGGGGTTTGAAAATTTTGGAAAGGTTACTTACTCGTATCTCCTGTATGAGACACTCGTTGCATCTCGACGAGAAACGTGACGAAGATGGAAATTTAGTTAAAGACCCAAACCAAGGGCTATATGCAAATCGTCGCGAAAGATGCGCCCGAGCAGTACACCATTAAAACTTGACTGGAACGACCTGTTGCACTTTGTACGTGCGCGGTGTAGAATCTTGCACGTTCTCGATTCAATCGTGGATTGTTATTTGTAATGACGTGTTTTTAAAGTAAAAATCATATACATAATGTGTTTCATAAAACGACGAAGGATCTTGAAAGCATATAAGACAAGTTGCTTAAAAATAAACACGAACTTCTTATCAATACTTAGTTTTCGTAATTTTGCCTGGCTACGAGAAATCGAAACCTCTTTCTAGATATTTATTTTTAATTTATCTTTCTAGAATAATATTCTTATTTAAAAAAATATAGCACACGTTGCGTAAATACAGCTAAAAATGAGAATTATTGGAAGCAAGAAGAGAATAACAGGAAAAAGAACGGAAAATATTAACAGCCAACGATGTTGCTAACAACAAGATCATTACATAGTAATTGCTCGTCACGATAATGATTTACTGTAGCACGCCGCAAAGAAGTGATTTCACGTGTACAGTTGTTAAAAAATGTGCATCGTCAAGTACGTGTAATAAAACGGTAGAAACGCACGAAAAAAACTACCCCACGCTGCATTTGAATGCGCAAATACGCGTGCAACACTTTACTCTTCGATGCAGTGAAACAACAGAAAAGAACGAGTATCCTATTAACCAACCCCATTTTAATAATTGAAACATTTAATGGTGCAAAAAGTTCCCCACTTGACCATAATGTTGCAACGTCTGTATTGGACATTGTACTATATGTTTCTCTCGTTTTTATACTGTTTCCTTGACTAACGAACTGACGGATAGTGCAAGCAGCCTAACGTGTCGTATTTATATGCAGTTTAATACAGTCCGCGATGACGTTATTCACATTAATCGTATACACAATCATTATTTAGATATGCGTAAGGTTCGCTAGTATTTACATTTTAAATGAAACGTGTCATGAGTTCTCGATAAATTCAATCTTGCTCAATGGTTCTTCTGTAAACAATCTCCAAAAGATTGTTTCGTTATATTACTTGAAGTAACTCGTTGATTCGTGATTGTAATTACCATTGTTGCCAAATATTTCATTATTCCCTTATCAATCCTCAATTATTAATTGCTCACAGTTATGACTGCTATTGCTACCAAAAAATCAAGTAATTTTGACTATCTTCTAATCCGTCATTCTTAAATTGCACAACCACCGTTAGCTAAAGCGTTAACCACAATTTCACGCATTTCTTTTTTCAATAACGCGCCGCAAAATCGGTGGAAACGGTAGGAAGGATTCGCAAAATTGGATAATTCGATAGCTGCAGGTGGCTCGAGCCCGTGTTCTCGATCTCGTAGGTAAAACGCGGCAGGCCTGCGGGTGGTTTCGTCCAGACTCCGATAATAGCGTCCAGTGGACTTGTTTCCATCTTGCTCGGGACCTCACTTGTAGCTACCTAATCACCTGCCATCATCGACAGAGAAGTAGCGAAGAGACAGTAGACGAGAAAGAGAAAGAGAGAGCGTGAGAGAACGGTGGCCAGTGGGGGGATGATACCGAAAGGGGAGAGACGGACCACGTGCTGAAGAGAAAGCACGTATGCTGTTTCATTATCGTAAATTAGTTCGTTCCTTTGGCGGAGAACAATCTTTCAACCGGCACGCGCGAAATAACCTCATCGAGTTTATTTTAAGGGTGGTCGAGAACTGGCTGCTAGTTATTTTATAAATTGAACTTGAAATTTCTGAATGTTTTATGTCGTTTTATAATTAAGTTTTGTTCATTTGTCTCTAGACAAATATTCGTCGGAAAAGATTATGAAATTATAAAATCTAGTACCCTTGTATAATGGCCTACCCTTGTTTCTTTAGCGTTAGACGCGGAGAATTGTAGAATATTTAGTTTTAAAACTGAGTTGTTATCGAAATTATAAAGCTTTTATTTTAATCTGGCAACTGGGAACTTTTGTAGTTCGTATAATTTGTTAATATAGTTTGAATATACGTTCATAAGTAGGACGTGTATGAACGTAAAATTAAGATCATTTAATCGATACACAACTACTGTTACCCGTAATTGATTATATTCGGCAAGAACGTATGAATCAAAGTCAATATTTGGAAGTTATTTCTTTGAAATTTTTGTTCGGTGAAAGATTGCCTTTTATTGATTGATTCGAACAATAAGTATTGACGGACAGCTCGCATAATGAGGATTTTTGAAGTCGAAACGTTCCGGCTTGTTCCGTTAAGTGGACAGTCCGCAAAAAAGGGAATTCACACATTTCCATAGGCGAGTTACGTAATTCCGGTATATACCACACCGACGTATTTTATTTCTTTTTCAGGAGAAGCCATTCACCTTGCCAGAGACTTCGGCTACGTTTGCGAAACCGAATTCCCTGCGAAACAAGTTGCCGAATATCTCAGCCGGCAGCATTGTGAACCACAAGATTCCTACAGGAGGAAAGAACTTCTTCATGCCACCAAGTAAGAATTTATTTCCAAGCCGGGGACAATGGCGAACAAAATTTACTACGATAATTGCGATTGCGTTACTCCGTTCGCATAGGTATTTAATTTCAAAGCTTAAATTAAATACTTAAAGAACTTAAAGAAAATCATGGACAATCTGTTTCTCAATTAGCATACGGTGATTGGAAATAAGTAATTATAGCTTTGTAAAAGGAAATGAATTGAAATCTTGAAATTTTCGTCAGAATTTTAGTACTTTTTTAAAGGAATGTGTTTAACATTGTTGATACATTTTCAGACAAATCACCAAAGAGCTGATGGATCTTCTAAACCAAGACAGATCACCGCTTTGCAACACACGGCCGCAACATATACTCGACCCAAGCATACAGAGACACCTAACGCATTTCTCTCTCATATCACATGGATTCGGAAGTCCTGCAATCGTAGCCGCTCTTACGGCAATACAGGTAGAGCATTGTCAATCGGTACTTTAAATTGGAAGCATAATCATCAACACTTTAGAACTTTCCACGTAGCGGAAATGAACTCTCACATTAAATAAAATAATTATTGACTATTATACAATTTCAATAATTCGTATTTTTCTTGCATGACTCAAAGCTTCGAAAATGAATTTTAATGATGTTATAACACTTTCAAATGCAAAAGGTTTTTGTTTATATTAATCCTTTGCGGTCAAATGTCGCTGTAATGTCGACTTCGAGCTTCGATATTTAAAATTCAAAAACTGCAATTGAATCGATCGATAATTAATCAACTAACGAGAGACTGACATGTGTTTTTTTCTTTTAATATGTAAGACTTCGATGCATAATTCAATTATTTATGAAAAGAAATGTTGGAAGTTTAAGAGAGTTTCGTATGCAAAGAGTTAATAGAAAATTGTCAATCTTAAAGGTTAATTCTAATCTTATTGGTTCTTTCAACTGATTCCACTAAGACAGTTTATATTCTCCGTAATACTGGTATTAACACAAATTACAATTTATTATGGAGAACAAAATATCAACAATATCATACACTACCTTTCCTAGATTCCACGCATAAACGATGAGTAAAAGATTCTTTATATCAAAATCTGTCAACATATGCAATGAAAACATACTCAACCCCAACGTTTGCGTTGCAGAAGTTCCTAAGCGAGTCCCTGAATCATCTCGAGAAGATGTACCCGGGGAACGGTAGCGGTGTGACAAGTAGTCAACAGTCGAGCCTCGACACGAACAAGAGTAAGGACGGTACATTGATGAACGACATGAAGAAGTGACGCCCGGAGGACCCGCCTACCTCGAACGTGGTCACTTCAATCAGGCACTCATGGCCGTACAACTGAGCTCCTGTGGGCATCTTCAACCACCGGTAGCTTCTGGACCACTGATACGCCACGTATGTCCGCGATCGCCGCGATCAGAGCGTTTGTATTATACCGAACTATCGAAGAGGAATGGTCGCAAACAGGGACACACGCAGTTCACGTGGATGCTGCATGCAACGAAACCGTATTGCGGGCAGACGTGTTCGTCGAGGTTGGCTGGTCGAAAGGTGTTCTAGGTAGAATCAATGAAAAACGAAGAGAGACGAGAAACGTGCAATCGCCCCGTGCAGTCGTCGATCCATCGAACGAGAGTCATGGTAGAGCCAGATTCCGGATTCAAGGCCTAAGGACCAGGCCAAGTCGAATCGACCGTTCGGGACACGAGGTGCTTAACTTTGCTCCCCTTTCTTTAGCGAAGCGAGTCAGGATAATTTATTCGTTTCGAGCGTACCTTCTTAGTCCCCGATCGCCAAGACGATCGGTACGCTACATGGAAATCCATACATTACAGGACGAACGTATGCACTCGCCTATATCAAAATAGAAGAAACAACTTTGTTCTTTCACTGCCTGTTCAACGTGAAACGCGTCCGTGCTGATCAACAGAGGGTTAAAGATATCGATCGATTCGACGGGGTCGTTGTAACCAATCCGCAAGTCGGGGTACTATAGAGTTTCAAAGCTTTACCGCGTCTTCCCTCGTTGTAAGCTGCGCGACGTGCACGCGTCGCGCGCTCCGATGAAATGGTTTAAGATCGTTTGTGATAGAGATAGCGACATAGTCGAAACGTTTGTGCAATGGTTACGGTGGACGCTTCGCTGTTAATTATTATTCTCTCGCCTTGTGTTCCGAGACCTTGCAACCCGATTGTGGGAGTGAACGAGAAATGTTAACACTTATTGTTAGAATCGGCTTGTTGACAGATGTAAACGTAACAATTGCAAAGTCGAAAACTTCAACTTCGGTAACACTCGCACGTACACGATAAGAGCTAGACGTTGAAAAGGTGAATAGGAAAATCGTGTTTGTCACACTACGCTGTCCAGAAGTTTCTAGCGGTGTTCTATATTCTTAGAACTTGCGAATCGATCGATAAGTATCCAATTATAATTGGAGGCAGGACGCGACATACGACGGATAAGAAACGATTCCCGACAACCTTATTTTCCACCGTATAATTTTTGGGTCGACTATTTATATTGCTCAATCATCGTTGTTATTTTTTGCTCATTACCGACACACACGCGCGCGCGCTATCGATTATGACGCCGATTACGTAAGCATTAATATTGTCAG